GAGTAGACAATCAGTTTTCGGATGAAGCAGATTAATGAAGCAGATTAATGAAGCAGATTAATGAAGCAGATTAATGAAGCAGATTAATGAAGCAGATTAATGAAGCAGATTAAACGTAAACCATAAATTCACTTTTTCTTGTTGACAGCTGTAGTCTGAAGATAAGAGAACAGTGTACATGTAAAAAGAAAGAGGTTGGGAGTTCAAAGAGAGACTGGGTTGAGTCGTTTATAAAGTTGATCCAAGAAACCGTTCACATATTTACTTTTTTGACAATAAAGAAAGATGGGAAAAAGAAAATAAAGGCATTGTAATCACAAACACACATACAGACACTGACACACACACACACACACACACACACACACACACACACACACACACACACACACACACACACACACATACAAACCCAAGCACACACACACACACACACACACACGCATACAAAAGTGTGTATGTTTTTTGTGTGTTTGCGTGTGTATACGTATGTGTTTTCTTTCAGCAGTACCGTTTCGACATAATAATATTTGACCAGAGAATGCGGATAGATTGAAGTAAAGTAAAGTAAAGTTGTCCCCCCATCCGATCCGGACATTGGGGATTGCCTTGTTGGTGAGACAACTTCCTGGGCCTTCGGCATATTGTGGTAGGGTGGCCAGTTCCTTTCCACGCCGCCTTTACTTCCCCAACTCGAAGTCAGGTACCCATTACTGCTGGGTGGGCATGAGGGGGTGAAAAAAATCCGTGTCTGAACGGAGGCTCGAACCCAGACTTTCCGCTTCGGAGACGAGCGCATTAACCGCTCCCCTACCGCACCCTCTGAAGGGACTATCGAAGACAAATAAAATAGGTGAAGACAAAGACGAAAGAAACAGGACGTCAAGGCACATCTCGATAATCCAAGACTCGTGTGCTCAAAGCTCAAAGTGTAGTAGCGTCTGTCTATCACTATCATCAGTCGCAGGACGAACCAGACAATAGATGCTGCTCACGACAGAACTAAGGCTCAATGAAAAAACGCCAACAACGAACTCAAAAGCTGTTCTACGACCGTTTGTCAAAGACACAAAGAGCCAGTATTATCCTAATCCTTGATCGACTGTGTGTCAAACACAGTAAGAACCAGTATTATTTAAATCCTTGATTGACTGTGCGTCAACGACACAAAGAGCCTGTATTATTTAAATCCTTGATTGACTGTGCGTCAACGACACAAAGAGCCTGTATTATTCTGATCCTACTGTTTGCCGTTTGTTCGGCGGAGTCACAGGAAATACGCGGGAAGGATAATCGCCATTTTGTGCTGAGAAAAATAAAAATTAAAGTGAAAAAAAAAATGGGAACAAGAGCCAGGGACTGGCTAAACAGCAGGATTTCCCACAGTTCATTAGTCAACTCCGGGGCAGGGGAGGGGGGGGTAGAGAACCTCTGATCCACGATTACGGAAGCTGCTACACTTTCACGCCATTATCTTTGAACGTTCGCCATTAATCTCCCATTCACCAGGCCTCCAGTAAGCACCAGCGCCATTGAGATCTGTCCACGCCTGAGCCCAGGAGGTCGCTCACAGTAGCTAGGTACCTGCTGTAGGAGCGCATTCACCAACACTCACGCACACAAAAAAAGCCTTTCACTTTCACCTCGCCCACATCCGTTTTTTTGCCCGGCTATAACACTATAAGCCTCTCAGGTGGCCGTCAGAGGAGAGAGCGTGGATCCGTGGCTCATTGATTTCTGCCGTGCCCCGCGCTTATGAATGATGCACGA